ACAAGGAAATGGGAAGTACTCAAGCCCTGCCCAAAACTCCACCCCCTATTAGTATAAAACAAAACCCACTCTAGACACCACCCACTGGCCCTCCAGGTCCTGTAAAGTATGACGATGGGCCTCAGTGAGTGCAGATCACCCTGTAGCATGTCTACGTTTTTGCACACAAATGAAATCTTTTTGCCCTGCTAACCTTTACTTAGAACTTGTCCTCAAATTCTTTCTTGCATCAGAGACAAGAACTTAGGCCCAACCAGCAGATGAAATCTTCACACAGCAACCCCAACTCAGGTGAATGACTAGAATTGACTTAGGACACAAAACTGACAAATCTGAGCTGTGGGTGGTGAAACCTGTGAACCAACCTGATGTACTGCAAAAACTTCAGGATCTGGCAGAACTGAGAACTTCCGGATCCGGGAGTGAAATGGGGCTGGGACTTCAAAATAAAATTGGGTAAAAGCTGAGAAATGAGATCCTTAGATTCTTTTCCCCACTCCACTCCAATCGTGTGGATGTCCCCACCCACCCACCCAAATTGGCTCTGTGTCCTGCCCCAGCTTAAGTCAGGTAGTTCAGGGCTTGGACTCTTTCTCTGTCTTGCTCGATGGAAAGAATGGGGAAATATGGTAAAGCAATAGAGCAAATGTTCTGAACCAGATATTTCAGTGCTCCCTGAAGACTGGAAGCCAAGAAGAATGTCAATTAAGTAATCATCTTTTTTATTTTATTTTTATTTTTGTTAGTTTTTAACAGATTTAACATGTTTTGTAGATAACAATTCTAAGAATGTAATGATACTCCTTTCCTCCTCCCTCCCCCCCATTGTCCTCCTCTCTCCTTTTTTTTTCTTTTTTTGTTTTTGAGATAGTATATTTTAAATTTACATTAGAGTAAAAAGGCTTAGTACTTCACCAAATAAGAAGTTTAACAACTGGCACTGTGGCATTGTAGCTTAAGCCTCCACCTATGGCACTGGCATCCCACATGGGTACCAGTTCGAATCCTGGCTCCTCCACTTCCAATCCAACTCTCTGCTAATGGCCTGGGAAAGCCGTGGAAGATGGCCAAAGTGCTTGGATCCCTGTACCTACATGGGAGACCCAGAAGAAGCTCCTGGCTCCTGGCTTCAGATGAGCCCAGCACCAGCTGTTAGTGGCCATCTGGGGAATGAACCAATAGGTGGAAGACCTCTCTGTCTTTCCCTCTCTGTTTGTAACTCTGCCTCTCAAATAAATAAATAAATCTTAAAAAAATTAACAAGTAAGTGTGGGGAACAATCCGGACTAGACTGAGTTACTGGAATTAAGACTTATTCTATGCATCTGCTCTCCCACAATATGGCGCTGGGAGAGAAGAAAACAGCTTCTACACAGGTGCCTCCAGTTCGACCAATTAACTGTAGGACTTGCTCCTGATTGGAGGAGAGCAGCGTACTCGGCGTGT